GTAGAGGGAGAACGGGAAAGCAAAGCAAGAGAGCCCAATCCAACTTTGGGATCAGACCGACAGCTGCAGCAGAATTTCGTTGCCTTTTTTAGAACAAAAACCGTGGGAACTCTTCCGTCCTGATGGCATTCCTCAGTCTGCATGTGCTCTTGAGATCAACATACAAGGGGCCCACACGACATGCATCCAAATTCCCTAGTACCATTACACTCCAGAGCTAAACTGACAGAACTACAATTTCTGGCATAGAAAAACTTGCTATTTTTCAACTGTAAAATTATATGAGGTGTGGAAAACTAATTTAAGGACCTATAACATATTTAAGGAAGCTTCAAATAGTAGACTTGACATCCTATACTATAAGTAGATTTCTGTCTCTGTTCGGTTAAAGACTCCAAGAAATAATAGGAAGAGGTATATCACATGATGGAGTCCACAGTAGGTTAAACCGCTGAACTTGCTGACAGAAAGGTCTCCAGTTCAAATCTGAGGAGTGGGGTGAGCTCCCACTGTTAGCCCCAGCTTCTGCCATCCTAGCACTTTGAAAACATGCAAATGTGAGTAGATCAAGAGGAACTGCTCTGGCGGGAAGGTATGCAGTCATACTGGCCACATGACCTTGAGGTGTCTACAGACAACGCCAGCTCTTTGGCTTAGAAATAGAAATGAGCACCAAAGCCAGAGTCGGATAATATTGGACTTAATGTCAGAGGAAAACCTTTACCTACGATAGCACATGACTCACCAAAGAGGAGCTAAATATGTAAATATGTATAACAAACATTAGAAAGTTATAATCTATTGTTGAAGGCTTTCATGACCAGAAACACAAGGTTGTTGTAGGATTTTCGGGATGTATGGCCATGTTCTAGAAGTATTCTCTCCTGACGTTTCACCTGCATCTATGGCAGGCATCCTCAGAGGTTGTGACAACAACCCTATAATAAATCTGTTAAACATCCTGGTTCATACAGCATGTTCCTAAATCCCTTCTGTCTCTGTAGCTGGAAAAGCAACTGAACCCCAAGTAACTAGTTATTTTTAATTATCTGCTTCCAAGCTATAGTCTACTACTATACGGTGGGCCCTTGGTATCCACTGGAGTTGGTTCCAGGATCACCACCATCTGTGGATATAGACATCTGTAAATGTTCAAGTCCTGTTATATATAACAGTGAAAATAATAATAATAATAATAATAATAATAATAATAACAACAACAACTTTATTTATATTCCGCCCTTCTCCCTGAGGAGACTCAGAGCAAATTACAGTATATAACCAGACATAGGCAAACATCCAATGCATTACAATGACATACAATGAGAAACAAACACAGAGACAAAGGCAAAGGCTTCTCCTTTAATTTCTGGCTCTGAAGGCAGTGCTCATCTCCACCTTTGGGGAGGTACTTTTTCTCCATTTCCAAGCTGAGGAGCCTCCATCCATAGACACCTCCTGGTCATGTGGCCAGCATGACTTCTTGGAGCATCCTTTTGCCTTTTCCGGCCAAAGTGGTACCTATTGATCTACTCCCATTTTTTCGAACTGCTAGGTTGGCAGGAGCTAGGGCTAACAGCAGGAGCTCACCCTGTCCCGTGGATTCAAACTACCAATCTTCAGGTCAGCAGTTCAGCAGCACAGGGGTTTAACCCATTGAGGCCCTGTAACATGGTGTTCTTGATCTAAAATGGAAAATCGTTAGCTTTTTGGAATTTTTTTGTGGAGGGGGAGAAGGGGGACATTTTCAGGTTGTGGATGCTAGAACCTGTGGGTGCAGAATCCATGGAGATGGGGGCTGATTGCATACAAAAGTTTCAGTAAATTAGAAAAAGAGAAACACAACAATGTAGTCTTATGAAGTTCTTAAGACAATTTATTCCAACATAAGATTTGATATGCATCTGAATGGGCAAGCTGAATTAGTTTTAAAAAGAGTGCCTGCGTAGTGCAGTGGTTTGAGTGGTGGAGTGAGACTGAGGGAAAACAAGCATGAAATCCCTTCTCAGCTGTGGAAATCCACAGGGTAATTTTGGGCAAAGTCACCCTCCCTTATCCTTTGAGGAAGGCAATGGCGCAATCCTCCACTGGGGAAAAAAAATCTTATAGTAATATTTGGCCTTATTTGATATTTCTTCTGTGCCTGTGTTATTTTAGAGACTAAAGAGGTTGAATAGAGGCAACACAGTTGGGATTCCTGTAGCAGAAATGTGAGAGGACATTACGCTGACGGATCAATGACCGAATTGACATTGTGTGAACTTTTGGTATATGTGATTTGCCTAGATGAATCCTCTTACAGTTGTGATGACGATATCCTTGTCTCTCAAGTTCTGTTCTATCTACAAGCAATAGCAATGAAGCCAGAAAATAATGAGTCACCTTAAACACTGATTATTATTATTATGGACATGGAATTTTAACCATCTGCAATAAATGTAGAAGAGAACAAAACCAGCAGACATGTACTAAAATGTGTATAGTGTGTTGACAATTGGCAAAGAAGAATGCTATTTCAATTAAAAAGGCTAGTTCAGTCAATCGTCCAGGCAGCCAAATGATGTATTAAGAGCCATCTGTTTGCTTTTCCATAATTATTTTTTAACAGCTTAAAAATAAACTCTTTCTATTGACGCAATACCTTAGATCTCATAACTCCCTGCAGCAGACATTACGTCACCCTTTCCAGAGCTTGGAAATAACCATAGTTCATAATAATTTGTTGCTTTAAGAAACTGTAATTCCTTTTTCCAGAAATTTTAAACCACAGGTGAATGGCTTGTAAGATTTTTCTAAAGTAACTAAAAGTAACTAGTTACTTTAAAGAAAAAAACTTTCTTAAAAATAACTAATATCAACTGAATACTTTGTGGGATTTGGTTCAGGTCCTTTCATACATTTTTTTAAATAGATAATATCAGCTTAAGAAGATACAATAAAAAACAAATAACATATATATTCCAGTATAAGCTGACCCGAATATAAGCCAAGGCACCTAATTTTACCACAAAAAACTGGAAAAACTTATTGACCCGAGTATATGACGAGGGTGGGAAATGCAGCAGCTACTGGTAAATTTCAAAAATAGAATTAAAAATAGGTACCAATAAAATTACATTAACTGAGGCATCAGGAGGTTAAATGTTTTTGAATATTTACATAAAACTGTAATTCAAGATAAGACTGTCCAATTCTGATTACTGTATATACTCGAGCATAAGTATACTCACTTGAGTATAAGCAGAAGGTGGCTTTTTCAGCCCTAAAAGGGGGCTGAAAAAATTGGCTTATACTCAAGTATATATGGTATACATAAGAATGAAACAGAAAAAAAGGCTATTAACTTTCCTACTGATGCCCACTTTTAAAAGTTTATCATAGGGCTTGTCTTTATTTCTTTTTCTTGTTTTTAAATTTAAGATATTACAACTACACTAAAAAATACCATATAATAAAGAAGAGAGCAAATACATAAAAATAATAAACTTAAACATAAGATATAACAGACTGTCAAAGAAGATTGGGGGATAGAGAAAAATTCCTACTAATGGTTATAGAGGTTATAAAGTTTTCCTTCATTTTGTTATAGAATATCTTCAATGCCCGTTACTTCTACTACTAATCTAATTTTCAAATACTACAAAGTCTGCATTATATTTACCAAACATCAATTAAAGTATGTTGTCTTTTGTATTGCGATCTGGCTGGACTCATTGGGATGAACAGAAATAGGAAATGTTCCAAGGATTTTTCTAAGTTCAGTCATGTTCCATGTTATTTTCTTTCAAGTGAATGCTGAGAGCTTGTAGGGAAGTGCTGTGCTCAACAAATAACAAAAAAGCCAAAATATGTGTTTCATAATAAAGTTAATTGCTGGGTGAAGCCAGAATTACCTCAACTTTATCATGGCTCAGTGCTTTTTGAGATCACGAAGGATAAGAAGAAATTGGCTGAGGCTCACAAGAGACAAGCACTATGCCCATTCTTTGGTACCTAGCCATATAAAGAATGACTGGGAGGGAGAAACTTACTTCCCACATCCCTACATCCTAAGTGAGCTTCTAGACTTAAATAAAGCCATGACTCTGTAAAGGGTGTCACTCTTTGGCAACTGGATACCTGACAAATTATCCACAAGTTCTTCCTAGAAGGGAAAAGAATCCTTTGCTTCATTTTTTACAGTGACAAAAATATAAAGCACAAAAATAAAAACAAAAGCCAGCATCCACTATACATTACAATTTAGAAATGAATTGTAACTTTCTCATTGCTTTAAAATTTGCCAACTTAGGTCAGGACTATTTGATCACTTGTTTTTTCAAAGATGATTTATGATTACAATTTCTTCTTTTGTTTTTCATACTAGTTTTTTTTAAGTGAATCTCAATTAAGACTATAGTAGTAAAGGTAAAAGTTTCCCCTGACATTAAGTCTAGTAGCATGACTACATGGAGCACTGTTATCTTCCTGTATTAGCAGTACCTATTGATCTATTCATATTTGCATGCAGAAGCAGGGGCTAACAGGAGCTCACCCCACTCCCCAGATTCAAAAACTTTCAGTCAGCAAGTTCAGAAGCTCAGCGGTTTAACCCACTGTGTCACCAGGGGGTCCTAGACTATAGTACTTTAATACAACTGTTCTCAAGGTCATCTAAGTAAGGGATGGGTAAGTGTGAGCTGCTGGCCCATTTTGTGACCCCGAGTGGTAATGGTGGTGTCCATGTACCATTGTACCACAATTTGAGTCTGCTTTGAGTCCCCCGCTGGAGTGAGAAATACGGTATACAAGTGCAGCAATCAAGTAAATAAATAAACAATAAAAGTGATATTCGGTCCAGGGAAAGCCTTTTTTGAAATCTAAAACATAGTCAAAAGGCTCCACACCTGCTAGAGGCATTATGGGGCAAAATGTATATCCTGCACCCCACCCCCCAGCCTTCCACCGCTGCCCAAGTGGCAACAATCAAGATGCCCCACAAATACACCACCACACAAAAGTTCAGTATAGAATCAATAAAATAATTTTATTTTTTTACAAAGGTTATAGACTTTTCTAATTTAGAAGAACACCTTTTAGCAATCAAGATTTAATTTATAAGATTTTATATGAAGTATATGTCAAATAGGTGTCTCTAGATTCAAGCGACTAAGTATGAAAATATGTAAATACATTTTGAAGAGCTTTTTTACTATTGTTACACTCCACCATTGCACTGTTTAAGGTAATACAATAGAACTACATGATTAATTTTGCTTGGAAGGGATTCTCTGAAACCGAGTTTGTTAATCTGCCGAGAGTGGGAAGCTATTTCTTTTCACTCCCAATCCAGAATCGACTGAAGGCCATTTGCTGTCAAAATGCTGACAGTAACATGAATCTGATTGTATGAGTCCAGCGCTTTAGAAAAGAGCACATTGGTTATACATGGCTTTTAACCTTGGGCTACAATAATGCTACCAAGCTCAACTGGTGTGTCAGTCAGTCATGTGGCACTGGGTAGCTCCTCTGAACAGTATTTAGAGTCTTTAGTTGTCCAGGTCTGATGAAGGTGCTGAAGGCGCTCTGAGGTCCTTGTGCTTACATTCAGGGCAGGGTGAACCTTGCGAATACCAGACTCATCCATTAATGACAGGCCACAGATCCCAAAGTAGGCATGAAGAGCATCTGGGAAAATGAATGAGAAGTCATGGTGTCAACTGTGCAGTAGTACCAAGGAATTTCTTGATTTGCCAACTTTCCATAAATATAACCTACATCAGAGGCTCCTGCCTGAAAAATACCTATAGTGGTTATATTTTGCAGATGACAATAAGGACCTCTTCACATGAGCATTTTAGCCCTGTTTTGCCGCTTTTATTTGCAGCTTGGATGGGGCCTGCCATACGCCATCCAACAACTCACGGTAGGTCCTGCCCACATTCCTCTCAAAGTGGAGGGGAAGTGCCGAAAGGCGCTTCCTCCACCACTACAGGGAGGAAAGTGTTTTTGGGTAGCTCCGATGGAGCTATCCGCACTTTCCTCCCCTTTCCCCCATATGATGGGGGAAACTCTGGCAGAGCAACGCACGTTGCCAAGTGTCCCCCCCCCCCCACTTCTCCATCAGATGGGGACAGGATGCCAATGCACCCTGTCCCATCCCCACCACATGATGGAGGAAGAAGGGAGAGCATGTGGGGCACCACAAGCTGCCCCGAACGTCTTCTCTTTCAACAGTGACTGCTGGTGAAATGGCACAGTCCAAAAGGGCTGTGTGAAGAGGTCCTAAGTTTGGGCATGTAGAAAGAAGAGAAGGGACACACCAAGAGAGCTGAATCTGAATATCTTCAACTTAGATCAAGTCATTCAAGTGAGCAAATTGTTGTGTACATTTTTGAAGTATTTTTGATGAAACAATACATATTTGCAAGTGCTGAATCTAAATAGCTAACTTAATGGAGTAGGCTTCTAAATTGCTAGCAAGCTCTTCTTTTCCCCATACTACTAACATAAATGCATTTCGCACATGTAAGCTTATAATCAATACAATCTTGCAGAAAACTCCAAATTTATTTTCAAACTTTGTAAGAAAAAAGGTATCACGGAAACAGGTGTCTTAAACATTTGATACCCATAAGCTCTAGAAAGTACCAAATCAATGAAAATCTATGGATTTGCTTTATAGCCTCAAACAAGAAATAAACCCAACTTAAATCTTTGCAGACTCTTAATTACTGCTAGAAAGCACCTGAACACCAACATGATTCTATGTGATCCAAGAAAGTACCACACGGCTCTTTTTCTCCTTTATTTTACCACTTCTGAGCATATAATTATCTATCACATAGATATGTGTGTGTGTGCTTATATGTACGATCCCAATGCTACATTACTATGTGCACTCCATACCAACATCCCAAAACCACTTCAACTGCAACACATCCTTGCAGTCAATTTCATTTCAAACATTACTCATCTATTCTAGCGAAGTAACTGAACCACTCAAGAGCCAACATGGCAGTCGTTTTAAGAATTGAACTTTAACTCTGGAGGCCAGGGTTTCAATCTCTGCTCTGCTATGGAAATCCACTGGGTAATGTTGGAGAATTTATTTCATTTATTTACGTCATTTTTACCCGCCTTTCTCACCTGAGGGGACTCAAGGTGGGTTACAGCTCCAGCAAGAATTCAATGCCGGTAAAACCCAACAATAAACAGTAAAAACATATCTTGCAGTTAAAACTATTCGCAGTTAATCAATAAAACACATAAAACAGTATACAAATTAAAACATATGTTACATAGGATATTCTGGATCCGGCACAGTCTGGTTTCAGACCGGGACATGGTACCGAGACGGTCTTGGTCGCCTTAGTGGATGATCTGCGCCGGGAGCTAGACAGGGGGAGTGTGTCCCTGTTGGTGCTCCTGGATCTCTCAGCGGCCTTCGATACCGTCGACCACGGTATCCTTCTGAGGCGCCTTGCGGAGATGGGTCTTGGGGGCACTGCTCTGCAGTGGCTCCACTCATTTCTGGAGGGTCGTACACAGAAGGTGTTATTGGGGGACTCCTGTTCAACACCACAGCCTTTGACCTGTGGCGTTCCACAGGGTTCTATACTGTCCCCCATGCTGTTTAATATCTACATGAAGCCGCTGGGTGAGATCATCCGGAGTTTCGGGGTGCGGTGTCATCTGTACGCAGATGATGTCCAACTCTGTCACTCCTTCCCACCTGCTACTAAGGAGGCTGTCGAAGTCCTGAACCGGTGCCTGGCCGCTGTAATGGGCTGGATGAGGGCGAACAAACTGAAATTAAATCCAGACAAGACAGAGGTACTCCTGGTCAGTCGCAAGGCCGAACAGGGTATAGGGTTACAGCCTGTGCTGGACGGGGTCGCACTCCCCTTGAAGGCGCAGGTTCGCAGCTTGGGTGTGACCCTGGATTCATCTTTGAGCCTGGATCCCCAGGTTTCAGGGGTGACCAGGGGAGCATTTGCACAGCTTAGGCTCGTGCGCCAGCTGCGCCCGTATCTTGGGAAGTCTGACTTGGCCACGGTGGTACACGCTCTGGTCACATCCCGCCTTGACTACTGCAACGCTCTCTACGTGGGGCTGCCCTTGAAGACGGCCCGGAAGCTTCAGCTAGTCCAGCGCGCGGCAGCCATGTTACTAACTGGAGCGGGACGCAGGGAGCACACAACGCCCTTGTTGTCCCAGCTCCACTGGCTGCCGATCTGCTACCGGGCCCAATTTAAGGTGCTGGTGTTATCCTACAAAGCCCTAAACGGTTCCGGCCCAAAATACCTATCGGACCGCATCTCGGCCTATGAGCCCACGAGGGCCTTAAGATCGTCTGGGGAGGCCCTTCTCTCGATCCCGCCTGCCTCACAGGCACGTCTGGCGGGGACGAGAGAAAGGGCCTTCTCGGTGGTGGCCCCCCGGCTGTGGAACACCCTCCCTGTTGACATCAGACAGGCGCCCTCCCTTATGGCTTTCCGTAAGAGCCTAAAGACCTGGCTATTTGAGAAGGCATTTAATTGAGTGATACATTAACTGGTAATGACAATCGGAACGGAAAATGGACTATGAGATTGGCTATGATTCTGATGTGACGGAGCGGATTAGTTAGTGTAATTTAGATTAGTGTGTATTATTGAATTGCTGATTTTGTTGTGCTTTATTGTATACTGTTTTTACATGTTGTACACCGCCGCGAGTCGCCCTAGGGCTGAGAGCGGCGGTTAACAAATGCAATAAATAAATAAATAAATAAATAAATAAACATAGTTCCATTTATCTGATAACCTTACCCAAATCCTTAATTTGAGAAGTCACACACTCTCAGCCTAAAAGGAAGGCAAACCCACCCCCAAACCCCCCAAATTGTGATGTGTTCACCTTAGAGTCACCATAAATTTGAAATGTTTTGAAGGCACAAACCAATTTTATTGCTATGTGAGTAGAATACATACTCAGTATATGACATTGATTCTGAAAGGCCAAACCATGAATGTATAATAGTCAAGAAATGGACATTAAAATAGTTAAAGTCTACAGAGTGCTTTGAAACACTCCACAAATAAGCAAAGGCTATATGAACAGGACAGATATATACCAGTGCACCATTTTCATTTGACAGCTTTTAAACAGAGGCTGGATGGCCATCTGTCAGGGGTGATTTGAATGCAATATTCCTGCTTCTTGGCAGGGGGTTGGACTGGATGGCCCATGAGGTCTCTTCCAACTCTTTGATTCTATGATTCTATGATTATGTCCCCTTTTTACTTGCTCTCACTGACACACAAGTGTTTCAAGCGATAGCAACTCCTGAACAAACTTTCACAAACACAGAATGAAAAGTGAAGGGTTATGTCTTGAATGGGAATTACTGCCTTTTCATTCACACAAGATGCTTTTTGTTTCAGCTTCTAGATGTCAGGCTTTTTCCAAACATTTCAGCCATATTTGTCATCTATGAAAACAGGCTTCTGGGGAATATTAAATTTACATAGGGTTTGCCAAGAATCTTCTGGTACCCTTTATGGCCCATTTGAGTCACCGCCTTGAATCATCTGTAAACTTTGTTACATAATGTATTCATGAATATCTAGAATCAAATGAGCAGTTAACTTATTCATACATTGTTCCCATTTCAAGTCCTTAGAGGTGATGCCCACTGCCCACTTCCCTTTATTATGACAACTGCCCATTCATTCAATGCTTGGCTCTATTTTTATAAATTTTTTCTGACCCCTAGGAGGATGAAAAGTTTGCCTATGAATGCTATGAATCTTCAGGAACCTTGAGAGATTGTGCCAAAATCTTTATGGAAACCCAAGTTTTTATCTACTGTATTTGTTGACAAAGCTCTTCAAATGTAAGAAATAGACTATCTTCTTCTGCACATATCACTTTCTCCTTATTGTCTTTTAACCTTTGCACCATTCTGCTTTAAAAAAAATGATAACTTTTAACAGTGACTTGAAGTTCAATCAATTCAACAATGAAGAATTCTTGTATAAACAGGTAAAGAATGGTTTAATAACCAATCCAGTCCTTCAATTGATGGCACTGCTTCTGTTCCACACATGCAAAACTACTTTTGAAAGTATCCTATGGAGCATTTTTTGTGAAACGTGAAGAGAGTTGTAAGAAAAGAATCCCACTGTGCTAGAATAGCCACATTAGTTCCATATATCTTCCTTAGTTTCTTGTTGCTCCATTTCTGTACATCCCATTAAAAAAATGAAGTATTCTTTGTCAATTTAGGAGTATCTGGAGGCATTTTTCTCATAAACAATGACCCACATTCCATAGACAAATTAGAAAATGAATTTACCTGGATGACTATCTGGCCATTTAGCAAATCCACCAACAAGGCGATCTTGGGTTGATAAAATATAATTTCTGTTCTTTTCATAATTTGTATACTGAAATATTTTCAGAAGCTGAAAAAATAAATAAGCCATTTTAAACATGCTATGAAAACATTATATACATGCAAAGTGTTTTAAAGACATCTGTTTACTCTTACATTTTAAAGGCAAAATATATTACTAGAGTTGGCAACAGAAAATAAAGCATTTGTTACAGAACTGACAATCTGACATATGCTAAAGTTTCCACCCAAGAAATGGAGCACCTTGGCCCTGCTGTTTGTATTTTTCAATTACCTTAAGAGTTGCTCCAACCCAAAATGAGTAACATGTATCCACAGGTTTGTTTGGCCGACCATGATAGCCATTTTGTTGCCTCATGATGCACCATCTCCTTATCCTGTCAAGTTCCTTCTCAGAGAAGACTTCCTCAAGTTTACCCATCAGGCACAATGATGCAATACCACAAAATGTAGAGCCACCTATAATATGAAGAATTAGTTCAATATGATGTTCAGCCTCTTAGGGGCTATTGATAAACACTGTACCACCTTGAAGGATGAGATCATTTTTGATGATCCAAATGCATTCATTTGGACAGAATGGGGAGGTACACATGTAGCTTGAGAAACTATTTTCCAATAAAAATGTTATGGTAACTCTCGTTGGGTCAGATAAAGTTCTGTTCTTTTGCTACATAGACATCACTGTTCTGATACCTGGTTGCCAAAAAAAATCTCTCAGCAGTAAAGCATTAGCATTTCTACAACAATACAGAAAATAAACTCAGTAAGATCCTGTTGCTACTGCTCCATCATGGCAGTTATTTAGTCCAATCAAGCCATTATTCTTTTCAGAAGGTTTAGTTTATGGCAGCTAAAGGCATGCCTGTACAACCCAGAACTCACTTAACTACTGTTTAATATTGTGAGATCAGGAGCCTAAATACTTATTTGCGAAATCAGTTCCAATGCAATGGCATATTAAGCTCACCAAAAAACGCTGGACTTTTAGTTGTCTTAAACTCTAATTTCTTTCGCTGGAAAAAGCAGGACTGTATTTGTTTATGTGGGGTAAGAACTGTTTAGCAAGGAAGAGGACAGAAAAGTTCCAAAATGTAGGAAGAAGTTGCTCTTCTTGTCAATATTAGATGAGCAATGAAGCTGTTGTTTCCATGATTGGGACTCTGAACACATGATTCACAATTTCCAAATTTTGTAGAACTTGTGTCAAAGCCAAGCTCAACAAATGAGATTATTTGAATGTGAAATCTCATTTTTAAACCGGACACAGTATGTGCTCTATTTGAGTACACTGAGTACATGCAATTTGAATGCTGTTGGATTACAACTAATGTTAGATTTACTTGCAAGTAAACACATAGAAATTATATCATTCATAGGCATCCCAATCACTTAAACACACATACTACTCTAATTAAACAGTACTATTAAATTTGGCTTATTTTAAAGTAGCTGATAATGTAAATAACATTCTTACCATGAGATTCAAGTCCAGCTCCTTGGGCAAGTCCATTATCATAGGACTGGAAAACAAAAAAGCAATAAAAGTGAGACAAATATAAACATTAATACAAATATTAATACTCATTTTTGAAGTATTTGAATGAAGTATTTGCCCGGAATCTAATTTCAACTAATTATAAACTAGGTCTTATTAGGAACACTGAAAACATAATGTGACACATTCACTTTCTGCAATGAAAAAAGATCACCCTATTTTTCAGTTACAAGACTACCTCAATTCACAAAATCTCTGGCAGAGCCCAAAGTCTTTTAATGTGCTTCCCCACTCTTTTTTCTGGCTTGCCACTGGAAGTTGTTTGCTTTTGTTTTTGTTTAAAGACAGCACTGACATTGGGAGGATTGTGAAGGAGGGCTGGAGAAGCACAGACTTTGAGTGCTAGAGTGCAGTGGTATTTTCACAGTAAAAGCACAACAAACAGGACTGTGCTCTCCGGGAAATACTGTAGTTGTATCAGCCTGTCTGCAAGAAGCAAAATAAACTGAAGGTGCTTTCAGGGATCTTTGTTCTGTGTGTAGGAAGAATAAAACCAAAAGAAAGGGGAAGCAGATAACTCTGTCTTATCACCTCTCACCAGCATGTTAAAGAAAGATAGATCTATATGTTTGGCAAGCAAAATGTAAATCATAAAAAGGAGGTTGGTGAAAGGAAGAAAAAATAATTCACGGATGCATTTTGGAAGAAGTTTTTGTGTGCAGTAGAGTCTTGTTTATTCAACATAAAAGGGGTGGCAGAACGTTGGATAAGAGAAAATGTTGGATAATAAGGAGGGATTAAAGAAAAGCCTATTAAATGTCAAATTACGTTATGATTTAACAAATTAAGCACCAAAACATCATGTTTTACAACAAATTGACAGAAAAAGCAGTTCAATACACAGTTTCAATACACAGTAACATTATCTAAAGGAGGCCAGAGGGGGATTGGCTGAGTGGGTTAAGGTGGTGGTTAATGCTTCCCTTCGGGAAGGCAAGATTCCAGCGAGCTTAAAACAAGCTATAATAAAACCGCTGTTGAAGAAACCATCACTGGACCCCACTAAATTCGACAACTATCGGCCAGTTTCCAATCTCCCCTTCTTGGGCAAAGTCTTGGAACGTGTGGTGGCCTCACAACTCCAGGTATTCTTGGTAGACACGGATTATCTAGACCCGGCACAGTCTGGCTTTAGGCCGGGACATGGTACCGAGACAGCCTTGGTCGCCTTAGTGGATGATCTGCGCCGGGAGCTCGACAGGGGGAGTGTGTCCCTGTTGGTGCTGCTGGACCTCTCAGCGGCCTTCGATACCATCGACCACGGTATCCTTCTGGGACGCCTCGCGGGGATGGGTCTTGGAGGTACTGTTTTGCAGTGGCTCCGGTCATTCCTGAGGGTCGATCTCAGAAGGTGTTGTTGGGGGACACCTGTTCAACCCCACAACCATTGTCTTGTGGGGTTCTCAGGGCTCAATATTGTCTCCCATGTTGTTTAACATCTACATGAAGCCGCTGGGGGAGATCATCCGGAGTTTCGGGGTACGGTGTCATCTGTACGCGGATGATGTCCAACTCTGTCACTCCTTTCCACCTGCTACTAAGGAGGCTGTCGAGGTCCTGAACCGGTGCTTGGCCGCTGTGACGGTCTGGATGAGGGCGAACAAATTGAAATTGAATCCAGACAAGACAGAGGTACTCCTGGTCAGTCGCAAGGCCGAACAGGGCATAGGGTTACAGCCTGTGTTGGATGGGGCCGCACTCCCCCTGAAGACGCAGGTTCGCAGCTTGGGTGTGACCCTGGACTCATCGCTGAGCCTGGAACCCCAGGTTTCGGCGGTGACCAGGGGAGCATTTGCACAGCTAAAGCTTGTGCGCCAGCTGCGCCCGTACCTTGGGAAGTCTGACTTGGCCACGGTAGTCCACGCTCTGGTTACATCCCGTTTAGACTACTGCAACGCTCTCTACGTGGGGTTGCCTTTGAAGATAGCTCGGAAGCTCCAACTAGTCCAACGCTCGGCAGCCATGATTTTAACAGGAGCGGAGCGCAGGGAGCATACAACCCCCCTGTTGCGCCAACTCCACTGGCTACCGATCTGCTACCGGGCTCAATTCAAAGTGCTGGCGTTGGCCTTTAAAGCCCTAAACGGTTCCGGCCCAAGCTACCTATCCGACCGCATCTCTGCCTATGAACCCACCAGGACTTTGAGATCTTCCGGGGAGACCCTGCTCTCGATCCCGCCTGCTTCTCAAGCTCGGCTGGCGGGGACGAGAGATAGGGCCTTCTCGGTGGTGGCTCCTCGGCTGTGGAACGCCCTTCCTACGGACATTAGACTAGCACTATCTCTAATGGTATTCCGCAAAAAAGTGAAGACCTGGCTGTTTGAGCAGGCGTTCGAATAATTAGTGCAATGATTGGTTAATGAACACTGGAATGGAACAATGGATGACGAATCTGGAACATGTTTTTGATGACGAGACGACAGTGAATGGGTATTGTAGTAACTGTTTATTAATTGTGTAATGTGTTAGGTTGTTAACTGTTTCTATACTGTAGCACTGAATTTTTGCTGTTCGTATTTGTTGTGAACCGCTGTGAGTCGCCTTCGGGCTGAGAACAGCGGTATATAAGTAAGGTAAATAAATAAATAAATAAATAGTAATCACTGTATTTACAAATTTAGCACCAAAACGGACAAGGTTTCTTTCTTTCTCCCACCCTGGACTGCGTTGGATAATACAGAATGTTAGATGAGTGAAAGTTGGATAAGTGAGACTCTACTGTAGTTCCTAGAAGGTTGAAATACCAAAAATCCTCTAGCTAGTTGAATGTGAAATGCCTCATCTGTCAATGCTATGAATGAATATACAGAAGTATGTATCTTACAATTCCACTTTATAAAAACAGTTAGGTTAGATATCACTTTTATAAAGGGAGTTCAAAAAGTTCTTGCAATTATAAGGATGACATTTTAAAAAGTGTACACAAAGAACTTACTTAAATGCAATTATGTGCATTAATTATGGTCAGGGTAGTGAGAACGATAAAGGGGGAACACATCAGGACTACTTTTCTACCAGTAACTTTAGAAAAAAATTAGTTGCAAATATGGGGTAGGGTCCAGACTTTCTGCAAGCAAACTTCCACTCACAGGATGCGCCTTTTAAAGAAAGTGGGGGAAATTCTGGCTAGTTTCTCTTTTATCCTATGTCTCTTGTAAATGTGCTCCTGAAAGACCAAGTACGAATACTGGTGACTGCAAAGGGGGAAATGAATGGGGGGAGAGGGAACTCTCCCGAATTCCATCCAGCAAAAGCACTGGTCGGATCTCAGTCAGTTCTGCAAACAGAGAGAGCCTTTTGATTTGTGAAAGGGAAAGTTGGAATAAAATCATGATGCACAAAGCATACAATGAGAACAAAACACTATGCCAAGTTGAGGACAAACTCTGTACAATAGACTTAGCCAAGGGGAGGTACTCAGTTATATGAACGACTACAAAACTAATTGCTTGATGTTGGTTTATCTACATGTTGTGAGTAAAATAACTAATAATGTTGCCCCTTTAAAAAAAGGGGAAGTGCAAGCCTCCACTTTCCAATGGAGATTGTAATCGTATTTTAAACTGCTGCAAGACAGGAAATGCAGAGAGCCAAAGTAGCAGTTTTCATTTTACTGTTCAATTAGAATGTAATTTATAGCCTAATTACACAATCCTAATTCCATTACTGAACTGTAAAGACGTTTGCTTCAAAATCACCAAACTACAACCATTCCTAATTAAAACTTTTTAACACCACCAAACACTAAAATAGCTTGATTATTGTGCGATGTTTCCAGTAATGCAGAATCTTGCATGTTTGTCTTGTAGTACAAAAAAATTACTGATTCAAAACAGCAATTTAAAAGGAAAGTAAAATATATGAGTCAAAGTGAATGACAAAATTATGATTCTTAACGTGATGCTCTAAACTGGGTACTTGATCTCCCAAATAACCTGGAGACATTCTCACATTTAGCAATGAACAAAAGACATTCAATGTACTGGGAGATCTAAAAACCCAAGATGGTTGTATAAAGTTTTCAACTGAACTAAGATTTAAAACAAATGGAAAAAATGGGAAAAGGGAGAAATCACTAAAGAGGAATTCAAACAAAGAGCCAGGACAAGTGGGGAGAAAGTCAGAAAATCTAAAACACAGAATGAGCTCAGGTTAGCCAGAGAGTTTTAAAATAATAATAAGGGCTTTTACATTTATGTTCGCAGTACAAGGAATAACACTGCATGGAGATTATGGCAAAAATGTTGACAGGGGATGGAGAAAAGACAGAACTACTCAACATCTTCTTCCCCTCTGCCTTCTCCCAAAAAGAAGAGTGCTCAACTTGGGGGAAATGGAGCAGGTGATGCAATAAGGGGAATTCAGTCCAAAATAGTTAGGAAGGCAGTACAGTAAACCCGTAAGCAAAGGAAGAAAGGAATTTCCATGGGCTTGTTTATTTATTTATTTATTTAAACTTATATGCCGCCACTCCCCTGAGGCTCAGAGCGGCTTACAAGAATAGCTAAAATCTAACAAAATTTAAAAGCAATTTAAAACAATTTAAAAACAACACAATCAAACATTAAAAGCTATATTATATGGTCTATATTTTATTCTAGGACAAGCCTTAATGACTACAGTATTGTATTATGTGAAAAGCCCAATTTTGGCCTATACGCTGAACTGAATGGAACAGCCTTCTTCAGGGGCTACTCTATTTTCATGATGACTTATCTGCTTGAAAAACCACTAGTAAATCAAGGAATCCTCCGCAGTAAGTTATGGGCAATCTGCATAAAAGAAGGAAAATTTGTACAAGAGGGGAATACTGCACAAGCAGAGGTGTCTTCTGTTTGTCTAAGAGCAATATTGTATCCAAGCCTGTGAAAATGCTGGCTTGAAATATTTGACAGGTCAAAAATGGTTGCCTAAATAAACTACATAAACCTCAATAGTATGCTAATTTGCATTGCAGATAATTAAGTTTAAAAACTGTTAACAAGCCTCATTTTCTTGGTGAAACAATGCCATATCTATGTAGTGTTCTCCCAAACAAGGGCATCTATTTTGCGTATAGTGAAGATGACCATATCAGAACAAATTAGAATTGTATTAGAGCCAACAAAATCATTTGCATCCATGATAGTTATTCTCCATTACAATGAGATACTTCTCCATGTAAATGCAGTGTTGAGGAGAAATATTCTCACTTTCTATTATACACAATATCGTTTTTGAGAAAGTGTCAGGCTACAAGATGCTGCTATTCTGAATGCTGGACAATGAAAGTATTATTATACACTAACTTGAGTATGGAATATTATTTTCTTAAATTAATTATGCAATACTTTTACTATATGAGTTCCTGCCATGAAAAACCAACTTCCATCAAAGTTGTGATGGGAAATGTGAAAGATATCAAGTAAACACCTGTATCATAAATATATCTGAACTGATCTCAATGCAAAACCCATTACTGGACAGGAAGGATATTACTGTAAAATAACTCAGTAATCCAAAGAGGGAAAAATTAAAATGATGATTATCAGAGAAATTTGCCTATGAAGTTAGAATGCATCATAATGAATAACTTTGTTAAGTAAACAGGGTTCTAAACCTGTACTAAAGAGGGATGGGCTTTTTCCAAAAGGTGCTTGTTAGTAGGAGAAGGATAAAGAGAACGCTATCTTCCACCTCTCCCCAAATGACCTTTGCCTCTACTTTCATGCTGGGAGCAAGATATGGGGTGGGAAATCCTTTATTTGTTGCCAAAGGCTAAGCTGTCCTCGTACACAATCATTACAGCGAACTGCATTGCTCTATATTGCATAAATATAGGACAAGGCAATTAATGCACCAAATACATACATAGTTCTATCTCCCATTTTCACTCACACACATACGAGCACAACATTTTCATCTTCTATTTGCATATTTGTTTTTTCCAGCAACCTCTCTAGCAGGCCTTCAATGTTTCAGCTTTCAAATTACATTTTCTCCATGAACACTACCTTACACATTTTTGTGGAATAACAATACTGTAGGGGTCAGGAAAGAATGGTAACTGATGATGATTTTTCACTTTTTAGCTCAAATTTCATTTGAATAAAATTGGACACATTTTAAATCCAACCTATCAATAAGCTCTGGGACAAGAAACCACGTGCATTTCTCAGGTATGAATTTGGACCTTGCTCTCCTCTCTCTAGTACAGCTAATAAGTGGAACTACTTCTAAATCAGGTAAAAAGGAATCTGGCAATGCTCCAAACCGTCTCAGAAGATAAAATGTAAGATTCCTGATAAGGAATGCATGGCAGGGAAAAAGCTGAGTAGAATCCTTGGTCCATCCTATTAGATTAACCAAGCCCATAAGAATGTCAGTCATGGTGTCAGATCTTTTCCGTACAGAATGTGTTCAGGTTTCTGTAAGTAAGTGTTATAGTATTGTCCATGCAAAGATTGAACTTGTAGATTTGTATTACCCTTTGAAAATTTAATAAAATTACTAGTGACAAAATTTTCCTCAGTAACACATACAAAATATATGAAAAGGACATTCTTAAAACTATATGACTTCCCAATGTTTTAAATGTTATGCCGCTTTTAACTATTGTGTTTGATTATCTGTTTTTGTACTGATTCACACTTCAAATCATTTTATTTGTAATGTGCCTATAAATTTAATACTGAAGTATGGAAATTCATCAACTAAACCTAAAATAGCATTGAGCTGTTCCAATCCTAATTTTTAATTTAAAAAGAAATCTGCCATTTGACAAAACTAATCTTGATGGAAGTACAAGTGGGAAGTCAAACTAAGTGCAGTAATCTTTGTTTCAACAGCATTTTATATTACGTTCAGATATAGTTTTAACTATTTATTTTTGTACAGAAATTGATATGCTCTCTGCACTCTGATAGAATTTTAATTGGAGGGAGGACGTAGAGTGGCTGATTTGCTTTTTCAAGACTACTGTTTTGGCGGACAGTTGATTTTTGAAGTATGTACTCAAGTGCTCTTGAACTCTGCTACCTCACTGTCAATGCTACTCTAGTGACATAAGTGTTTTCTCCATATCACACCAGGACTAAAATACTTCCAGATTCTTGAACTACAGAGGACAGATGATGCAGACAGATGGACCAACTGAATTTCCTGATTTGCTGAAAGAAGCACAAAGAGGAGGAAAGCTTTATTTTCTATGATTTAAATGTTTGTTTCGCACTGTTATGGGTTCTTAATTTGATAAAAAAGTGACGTAAGGACATATTTGAGATGGTGCATTATTTCTACCTCCACATTTTAAACAACTAATGTTAATTTCACATTTGCTGAATCAGACAAAAGGACAGAAGAAATAGAGAATGTAGGTAATTATTTGTAAATGAACACCAAGAATGCAACTATGTTAGAAAAGCTACTTCATGATTCTGTGTTCCATGTTATGCAAAGCCAAACTTTAAATTTTAACTGTTCATAAATCGGTTTGAATTTAAGCCAATCTCACAGATTAAATAAAGCTGACAAAGAATACATATCTTCATATTAAGAGGAGTGCTGCACTAGTGCAATCATAGTAATATAGTGTGTCAGCATAAATATGAATGATCATATTGTTTTGAATGATTTATTGACAAACTTGATAAAACTCTAGTCACACAAGACAGCTATATCTCTGCCTATTTATTGGGCCATTAAATCCCACCAAACTAAGCTGAAAATGAGAAATCTTTCAAAAGTGCCACTTGGGAAAAACTCACCATGCTTCTTCTAATATAATCTATGGCTTTCTTCGTATCCATCCCTGACCAGTCATTCAGCATGTAGCATATACAAGCAGCGCAGTATATAAATCTCATGTCATTTTCACTTCCTTCAAGGACCGCACAAAAACTGAAACAGGTTTAAGTAATAGTCAACAATAACTATAAAAACAAGTCATCATCAGTTCATTTCAAAGCTAAAGAAAAACTTACATTCTCCACAAAACATTCATTTCTATGGGGTAATGATCAACTCACACACTGCAAGGCAGCAACCTGACTTGGGACTGTAAGACCTCTGCCTGCTCTGTTCAGTACAAAGCCACATTACTCTTCAGCCTTGGACCAGTTTGACAAACCAGATTATCCAATATTCAGCCATGAGATTTGTGAGCTCACCCCAAAGATAGGTCCTGTGCTTCCTTAGAATACAAGGATAAGGTTGCACATTTGGATCAGTTCAAGAGGAAAGAGAAAGGACAAAATCTATGAATGCTCAAGTCCCATTCTATATAATGACATATTAAAGGGTGTCCCTTATATAAAATGGCAAAATCAAGAATTTTTTTTTGGGCGGGGAGGGTGGGTGGGGGGAAATGAATATTTTGTATAGCACACACATACATGGGTACAGCATACTTTTCCAAGTTGCTTTGATAGTCATGGTACCAGAATTATGAAGTGATTAACCAACCTATTTGGATTTTTTCTTCAAACAGCAATTAATGGAAGGCAGAAAAATAAGTTCTGCTTCCACTGTTCTAACAAAATATGAAGAAATAAAGATGATCTCAATTTAACATAGCCAGTGAAAGTTGAGGGAAATCCAAGTGAAATAAGGGATTCATTCTACAGGAAGTAAGAGGATGAGAAGTGGATAGCACATTAAATGCTGGTAGTATTTTTAATGCAGCTTTTAAAGCAGGGATGGGAAAACTTCAGCCCTCCAAGTGTTTGGACTTTAACTCTCACAATTTCTAACAGCCAATATTTCTTAACACCTGGAAGGCTGAAGTTTGCCTATGCCTGTTTCAAAGCACTCAGTATCAAAATGCTACACTTGAATCTCCAAGTTTTTAGTTGTACTTTTCTAGAAGCAGTTATTATTAGCCTAAAATCTCTCAGTTCCAGCCTTGTCACCCACTGGTGAATGGTAGAAAACATAAGGAATCAAAAGCTGGTTGGTAAAGACTGAACTTTCAAACCACCAGTGATTGGCATCATTAAAAACAAGAACATATGCTTGTCCTCTCTACACTATGTAAACTGATGAAAAAACACTCCATTCACTGGCAGGTGCTTGTCTAAATTTGCCTTTTCCACAGAGGAGAGTACAAAAACATGAAAGCAAGAGAAAGTGCCTTTTTCTTGCTTTTCTTTCTCCAAGCTGGACTCAGCCTGGCTAATTCCTACTTTACAATACAGTGCATTATGTATTTGGACTCAGTTTTTCCCTTCTAAAAATATGAAACACTATGTAACACTGAATTCACTGTACCTTCCATCTTCCAGCTGGAGTGCTCTGAGTCCTGCCAAGCAGGCTTCTTTATTTACTCGGCTTAAGTCATCGCCAAGAATAACTAAGCAGCAAAGGCCAGTGTAAGTCATTGCTATGTGCCCACTATCATAGGGATGAGAAACACCAGGCCCCTGAAACACAAGAAAGTAAGTTTTTGAAACAAAATCATAATTATACACTCATAAGATACAAGCATTTATTTTAGAAGAAAAATAAGGATGTTTCCTTGAACTATCTTTATGGGAAATGATCAGAAGGAATACATCCAGAGAAATTAGTCTAAAAGGTTATACATAATCTCAATATATCTTGAAATTTGTTCGACAACAATAAATAAAAATGCATATCTAATTCTATATCATTCTATGGGAGTTATTTTTTAAAGAGCCAAACACTTCAAGATGGATATATTTCAACTCAGATGGCCTATATGGAATCAATGGTTCTGCAAACCTACCACATTTCTTTCAAACACCCTTCTATCCCTCACAACTAAAAAAAAGTGTGATCATATGTTGGGGTTTGTCTGCCGCTCATACTATTTTTAATCAGGAGACCATCTATTTTGGGCCTTGTGCACAAGACATAAACTGATGCTGTACAGTAAGAAGAAATGTTAGGAATGGAATGTCTGGCTACGGATCCAAACTGTGAGCAGAGTGACACCATGAACGCAGATTCCTTGAGTCTTGCACTTGTACAGTTCTAGACAACACACTTAAGAAACTGAAAACATTGATGAAGGAGGCAAGCAACATGGCCAAAGGGCTGGAACAACTGTTAGAATTGGAAGAGACCTCATGGGCCATCTAGTCCAACCCCCCACCAAGAAGCAGGAAAATTGCATTCAAAGCACCCCTGACAGATGGCCATCCAGCCTCTGTTTAAAAGCCTCCAAAGAAGGAGCCTCCACCACACTCCGGGGCAGAGAGTTCCACTGCTGAACAACTCTCACAGTCAGGAAGTTCTTCCTAATGTTCAGATGGAATCAGGAAAGCTTACAATATTTGGAATTGTTTAGATTTTTAAAAGGCATTAGGTTGGCCATTGCACAAAAGGAATGACAGACTACATAGGCCTAAACAGGGCTCCTCTGTGTTCCTGTTGTCTAGGAATGTCACTTGCAACGTCTTCTACCCAACTCTTTTAGGGCTAGAGGAGGCTTTTTTCAAAATCCAAAGTGACTGATAATATTCTGAATCAAACGTAATGGAATTACAGTTTTCAGTCAATAAGGAAGTGACTAGAATATACCAAGACAAGAGGGACAAGCACAGGCCCTGTGCCACCAAACCATAGTTTGGAATTACTTACTGAGTGGTAAAAAGCTGCTCTTACAGCTTCTAATTCTTGATCTCACTGGTTTTATAATGTAAGAAAGAAAATTAAAGTTGCAATAATTTTTAATTTTATTAAAGTATTACTTTTATACCTGTTCTCAATTTCTTATGGAAACTCTAAAGTATTTCTGTTTAGAAAACGCTACGGTTTTCAAGCAAAGAAAACATAATACATGTTTTTTCTCTCCCTATTCCAATTCCCACTGTAAAGTTTCTAAAATGTTTTGAGAACTATGCCCATATCAGAGACTTATTTCATGAACATTAGACAAAAGTGGAAAAAAGAAAACAAGCTTTCACAAACCTTCGATGGATTGAATGGCATTCCTAAATATGAAGAACCACGGAATCCACAGCGATGCATGTTGGATCCTAAGGAAGAAAAAAAACCAAATTAACTTTGCACATTCATTTGTGCAGCAAGAAACATCCACAAATTAGCAGCTTATGGAATTCGCTCCCCAGCGAGATTAGATCGGCTTCCTCCCTCCTTACTTTTAGGAAAAAACTAAAGTCATGGTTTTGGAGCCAGGCCTTTGGCTAGTGGGCACAGCAGCACTTTAGACACTGAACCCGGACCATAAGATTGTTATGACAATTGGAAATGGCTATGTGACTTTGTGATTAGGCGACTATGTTATTATATGAGTATGTGATTTTAATTAATGTTACTGTTTTAATTTGCTATGTATTTGATTTTACATTGTTGTATTGATATTGTGGCATTGAATTGTTGCCTGTGTTAGCCGCCCTGAGTCCCCTCTTGGGGGTGAGAAGGGCGGGGTAGAAATGGTGTAAATAAATAAATAAATAAATTTAAGATTACAGTTCAACTTAGATCTAAAGGCATTCTAAAATCACTTTTGATGCCAGACTTTGTCCTTCATATATATAAGAACTCTATTTCCTATTCTCCCCCCCCCCCCACCCCCATATAAATATTTCTAAAACAGGGTGCATCTCAAAATTGTGGGTGCTTTTCATGTATATTAATAAAGTTTTTTTTCTGTTGGTGGTATAGTGTGCATTTTATAATCAATGGGATCTCAGAATCAAAGAAATATGATATATACACATTTACCAATTATAAGTCCCCATAAAATAGATAGGATTAATTCTGACTTAATGTATAGGACTGTACTTTCTGATATTTTTTTGCTGCAAGAGACAACTGACCTAATAAACATCATCATAAAAATACAGTGATGATGTCAACACATTTGTGTTTGAAGACACATCTCAACATAACAAAACATGACATATGTAACTAAATGGTGAATGTTTGGCAAAGATCAGCAGAAGTTCAGAAATCATTTGTTAATCATCATTAGTTGCATTTTTGTCTAGCTCCACAAAAAGAACCAAGAACATGTTTCTTCAATATGAATACTACACATCACACACATTACCAAATATTTTATTTATCTGGGATTGAACAGCTGTACCAAAGCGAACCAAAATCTGTTGCTTATCACAGGAAGACATCAGATTAATTTCGGCATAAGTTTTTATCGAGACCCAATTAGCAGGTGTATGAAGTGTTTAGATTGAAAAACGTTTACAGAATTTATTTTAACTGATGGGGCAAAATGAGATAAAATACCAAGTAAGTAGTACATCTTTATACTTCAATGCAATGTCCAAATGCACAAAAGAATTCTAGCGCCACCTAATTCTTATAGTTCAGTCTAGAAAAATGCTGAATATAATTCATAAGGTTCTATTCATAACAGCAGAAGATTTACTGTATATAACAATTAAATGGCATGTTCATATTCCACAATGCATATTTTCATGATGAAGGTGCTACAAAATTTTGTTGCTTCTATGCAGAAGAAAATCACTCTCATAATTGTAAATTTTAGACAGACGATTGTGATATAGCACCATCTAGTGTATGTTCTCTGCCTACAATCTTTCCATTGATATATGATGTTCCTTGTCCTTAATCCATAGTGAACTTTGAACTAGGAAAAAGTTTTTGTTGCTTTTATTGTTTATGGTAGTAGTACCTGAAAAAACTAAAGCACCTGCAATAGGTTGGAAGACACACCAATATGTATATAAACATGAGCCTTCAAGTCGCATGAACTGTATAGTATTTTCTTATGTCAAGAAATATTTAGAAATGACTTTGCCAGTTTCTTCCTCTGAAATATAGCCTACATTACCATTATTTGAAGAAGAAAAAAGATTTATATCATTGTAAGGATTGACATCTGCCAGTAAGGTGCCACAAAGCCGATTTTGTGCTAACTGTAAAATAACATGTTTGAAGGTTAGCTAAAATCAGAGCTCCAAGAGAGGCTGAAAACTATTGCCACAATGCAAAATATCATATCCTCCATTAGGCCTGAACACAATGAAAATGAAACATGACTATGGATTTCCTTACACTAAACTTTGTTAAATGACCTCAATACATTCCATAAAGTATCAATGCAATTATCAGCATATATAAAGCTCTTTGTGAGGAGTGGCTGAGGCTGATCATTAGTAAAGATGTAAAACAAGGTCAATGCAAGAACTCTGCCTTGGGGTAAACCATTCTTTTGCCTCCTCTATCTACTTTTCATGCCTTGAAACTCCTTATATAAGCTGAGGTTTTCTAGGAGGGTCTGGACAGTTTTTGTAAAATCATAGTCCTGGGTAATATGGTAGACTTTATGCAGCATTTTTCTATGTTGCACAATGTCATAGGCTGCTGTAAAGTCCACAAAAACGGTTCCCATAATGCAGTTTTTCTCATATATATGCTGATGACCTTGTCCTAACAACACAAGTAAAAGACTTTGAAACAGTGGAAAACCAACTTACTAATGCTCTGAAAGATCTCTCCAGCTACTACAATGATAACCCCACCTGAAGCCTAACCCTGACAAGACGCAAGTGTGTGCTTTCCACCCACGTAACCGTGAAGTCAATAGAAAATTTGAAAGTTACTTGGGAAGGCCAAGACCTCAAATCTAAATAACTCAGTGTCACTTTAGATTGAACACTAACGTTTAGGAAACACTGCATGAGCACCAAGCACAAAGTAGCTGCACGCAATAACATCCAGTGGAAACTTACTGGCAGCGCATGGGGTGCAGATCCAAAATTAAGAAGAACATCAGCCCTGACCTTGTCTTACTCAACTGCTGAGTATTTCTGCCCTGTTTGGCATAAGTGTGTTCACATGAAGCAGGTGAACATAGCACTGAACGAAACGTGCAGAATAATCACAGGAAGCCTCAAACCTACACCTATTAATAAACTCTACAAGATAGCTGGGATCCCGCCCCGCCCCCCCGCCCCCAAAGTTACTGCTAACTGGGAGAGAAATAAGGCGGGACACTGTGAAAAACACCCACTGCATGCATGGTTATCAGCCTCCACCCAGTAGACTCAAATCAAGGAAAAGCTTCATGAGAGTCACCACTTCTCTTAATGTTCCCTCAGCAACAGCAGGGGTATCCCAGGAATTCCCAATTGGATGCCCCCCCCCCAAGAATGGGCAACTTGGCTGGAGGCAAACCAAGAATGGGCAACTCCAAGGCAAACCAAGAATGGGCAACTTGGAAGACCCTGAACAGACTCAGAAGCAGAGTGGGCAGATCAAAAAACAACCTGGCAAAGTGGCACTACCCAGAAGAATCCTCCACCATGTGCGATTGTGGAGCAGAACAGACAACTCCACATCTGTATGCTTCATGCACAGAGGAAGAATTGTTTAAGGCTACAGACAATGCGGTCACTTTTGCCCATTTTCGGTCAAAAAATTATTTCGCTGCTTGTGCTCTTTCTATTTTTTATAAGTTTTATACTTATTTATGCAATGGTTTTGACAAAAAATAAATAGTGCAATTATAATGTGAGCCCATGAAAAATTGATATTGTACCTGATCTTTTGCTAAACTTTTAAGGTTTAATGTTAAATAATGCTTCAATGTTTAAATTTACAAAGTACTGGCATTAAAGTCAATCATCTGAAGAAACCTCAAAAAGAAATCTGTTCAAGTTGCAAACAAGGGATGCTTTTTTGATATTTTCTTGTTGTTTCTTCTTAAAGTGTACAGTATTTCTGCCATGGCCACATTGATATAACTACAAAGGAAGTTGCAACAATATAAAAACCAATTTAAACAGAATTGGGGAATAATATTCTCTCAGGAATATTCCCAAGCCCTGGGTTAGGTCAGATCAAAAAGTAGCTTTAGATATTGAAGTATTTCAGTTGCATTTTAGCAGCTAAAAATAAAATACAGTAGGTCCTCCAGATCTGCAGGGACTAATGGGAGCAAATTCAAGTGACTGGCTTGTTCTCTGGTTTGCTACCACCAATCCTATAACTCTGCAGAGATTATCTTGTGCCAGACGTAGTCTGACATTCACCACCACCACTCTTTTCTCCCATTTAATTATCCCCATTTAATTATTAATAATAAACTCATGAATAATTGAATCCACAAAAGTTAAATCTGCAAATGTGGAAGGCTGACAATACTGAGGTTCAACATACATATCACATTGAAGTATACACACACACACACACACACACACACACACAAGCATGCATATGTATGTCTTCAAACTGTTTGCACCCACCATTAACTCTTGATTTTAGAAACTGTGGAGAAAGAGAAATGTGCTTCCAGTCCAGCACTTTACCCCACAATGTTTGTCAAAGAGATGACATAGGGTGCATTTACACTGGAGAATTAATGTAGTTTGCCACTTTAACTGCCATGCCAGTATGCTATGGAATTGTGGGACTATTGGCAGCTTTGTGAGGCATCAGTTTTTATGGTTAGTAGAATTGTATGAAGTATTTTTATTAGTTAAAGATTTTATCTTAAGATTTGTAACGATTCTAAAGTAAGTTTGAATTCATTGCAATCCTTTTTTGTTATTGCTGGTTGTTTCATTGAGCTTATTCTGCCTTTTTCTCATCTTTTTTTGGGTATACTCTTAATCTAGTTAAACATTTTTAATAAAAATGTATTTTAAAAATATGAGAAAAGCTAAAAACTCACTCACTATCTTCTGTCGGAAGGACCTGCAGAGAATAAATCCACTCTATTATATCTTCTTTGTTCACCAGATCTAAGGAATCCAACATATCCAGACCAGAAAGTGCAAAAAAGGCAACTGTTAACCTGAAAAGGAAAAAAACCCAACAGTATTTTATTCCTCATCAAGAGTATCAAACTGGCTGCAAGCATGAAAACTCATACTTCAAACCACACAAAACTCATATTTCTAAACCTCTAGCATAAACTGAAGCAGACGTGGATGCTATAATCTGACAATCAGCTGCAGGGGAGTTGCTGGCATAACAACTCTGCAAGCAAGGTAGCTGCATGGCTGTCAAACTTAGCTTGCCAATTCCACTTGGAAGGCAAAAAGTGAAGGCCACACACAGAGAATGCACAGCAACATGTCTTTTAAAAGCTGTGCAATGAATGATTTATTAACAACAAAATCAAGGAAGGGCAACTTTTTCAGCAATTGTCTAAATACCATAAAAGCACCAGATTCTATATGATCTTGGAAGCTTAAGCAGTATCAGCTCTGGTTAGTATTTGGATGGGAGACTGCCATCCTGAGACCCTTTGGGGAGATGGTAGTGGGGTATAAATAAAAGTTTATTATTACTACAGAGATGCTTGTTTGGTATAATTTGTTTTTCTGTATATGTCTTTTTTTGTTTGTATGATTGTAGGTTTGTTTCTTAGAATAAAATTATTTTTAAAAGAGATTCTAGAAGGCCTTAGAAATTTGTATAGCTGGTATCATTGATGGTCCTGTTGAAGACCTGGTCAAAAAGTGGAATCTAAATCTAACCTGGGCTACTGACACGGCTGCTCCCAAACATACTCTCCAAAACAATATTATTCAGACTTCTTGGTATACCAAGACCCTCAAGGAGCTGAAATGGGCAGGATACCTACAAAACAGATGGGTCTAGTTGTCCTTTAACTTCTATACTACAAGACACAATATAGAGGGCATCTTTGTTCCTATAAGGTAGGAATATGGGCAGCAAGTAAATTTTGCTTCTCTGAATGTATTGCATCTCCAAATTCATACCCAGCTGCACTAGTTAGAGTTATTAATTTACTTTTAGAACTGTAATGTCTTTAATAACCATTTTGCAGGCAAAACATCTTGCATAAGAACTGTCTTAGATGTAATCAATGGAACAGAAGTTGGTAATAGGGTGTCCAATGACTGAGTGGGGATTACACTAGATTACTTTAAATTACTGAGTATTGCTGATATGGACAAGATGTTTTCTCGATCCCTACCTCTCTTACTTAGTCATCCAAGGTGAAGATGCAAATATCCTAAGAGATACATTATTAATGTATCTCTTAGGAAGGAGAAATTTTCAACCTGTTTTAAACAAGCAGTAATCAGACCAGTTCTTAAAAATCCCTCCCTGGATAACTACCTTAATCTTCATTTTTTGGGCTAGGTGATTGAGAAGACAATTACTTTCCAACTCTAGGTAGTCTTGGATGACACACATCCATGAACTACTTCAAAACTGCTTCAGAACAAATTATGGAGTTGAAACTTTAGTGGTTAATCTCCATCTTAACACTAACAGGGGTAGTGTGTCTCTGTCAGTGTTTTAAGATCTCTCAACAGCAGTTGATACCATCAGCCATAGTATCCTACTGGAACACCAGGAAGTGAGTTGGAAATCGGAGGCACTGTCTTGTAGTGGTTCCGGTCATACCTCTCAGGCAGGTTCCTAATGGTGGTGCTTGGGGACAGCCACTCCTCATCAAAGGAGCTGTTATTCCAGAAGATGCGGGCAGTATCAGTAAGCTGATGACACGCAAATATATTTCTTAATGCCCTCAAAAACAGCCTTAGATAAGGATGTATTTGAATTAATGCTTGGAGGAAGTAATGGGCTGGATGAAAAATAACAAACTGATACTGAATCCAGATAAGACCAAAGTGGTTGCTATTAAGGGTCCTAACCTACATATGGAGATGTGTCAATCAATTCTGGAAAGGGTTACACTTCCCTTGAAAGAATGTGTTCACAGCTTGGGACTGCACCTAGATCCCTCTCTCCAAATATAAGCCTAGGTAGATGTGATGATCAGGACTGGTTATTACCAGTTTTGGCTGACTTTCCTAGAACTGGAGGACCTAAAATGATAGTGTACATGCTGGTAACCTCAAGGTTAGGCTTCTGTAAGTTGCCCTACACTGGGCTACCTCTGTAACCAAGTTCAAAACTCCAATTAGTCCAAAATATGGTTGCTAGAATGGTTCCAGCGAGCATATCACACCTTTATGAAAATTACTCTACTGGCTACCAATTAGTTTCCTGGCAAAGCACAAAGTGTTTTAGATCTGCAAAAAGGAACATCCTTGTGTAGTGCTTTGCTAACTCTAGTATGCCTCTATTAACATGTATTCCATATACTGTTCCATGTATTAGAGTTAAGTGAAAAAACGTATTACTTCAGAGTCTTTTGCACAGTAAGCAAGTCAAACCTATATCTGATAAGATTATTTCAAAGTAGGACAAAACAGGTTGAGCAAGTGATTTCTCAATACAATAGCATTCCTACACACAAGTTGTAGAATACTAAGAACACTACTGAATGTGTGTGTGATTGTTTTTCTTTAGGAACCTAGGTTCCATCTAACTTTATTCTGAATGTTGTGTAGAAAGAGATAATCAGCAGTGTGCTACGAGTATTTGTCTAGGACACATTCACATTTTATAGGATCTCCACATAACAGCCCATTAATTGTGCAAGATACACTTTTGCTTACAGCTTTGCTTAAAAGGATACTCTATATCTATCCAGGTTTTGCAATATAATAGTCATCAAGTAATAAATAACCACATGGAGACTAATTTCTATTACACCCATTTCAACCTGTTTTATTTCAAGGCTTAGACAAGATTCCTCATTAATTATACTTCTTACACCCTTACTTATTAATAACCATGACACAAGAATAGTAAGTGTACAAAACCTGATGAGGAAGTGTTTACATGAAATATTAAACGGGCAAGCATTTTTCAACCATTAGCATGAGGGTTGCTCTGGAAGTGGTGAACATGTGTTGTACTGCCTCTATAGATGCCCCAACAAAGTGCTCCACCATAAATATTATACTCACTACTCTTCAGTCACCTGGAGCTTATTCTGTTAAGAAGACAATGAATTACAGCTTTCATTCCCATTATTTAGACAGATTCCCCAAGTTAAAAAGTATTTAGTTTAAGCAAATAAATCTTTTAAAGTAATTAGCAGAGAAAAGGTCCTTATTTTCAAGTTAAGTCCCTTCATAAATAGAACTACTTCAGTCCTTTAGTAAGAGGCACAGCCCTTATTCTTGTTGCTTGAATTACTTCTTTTCATACACAGCATATCTCAGTTAACAGAAAATTTGGTGCCAGAGGAAAAAAAAATAACATGAAAAACTAGGAATAGCTTTCTATTATCAAAAAAAGAACGTTTTGGCAAAATTTTGGCAAACATTTTAACTAAAACTAACACTATGTTAAAAAAACAGGGCAAACAAACCTTGTATAAGTTTTAAAAACAGCATTTTGAACCATTCAGACACCATTTAAAGCTTCTTTCATAATATATCCACTTTTCTTGTGACTTATTTTAGTGAGCCAAACATATAGAGCTATGCTTTCTAAAATGTGGAGGTAGCAGGCAGATCCGTTTTACCCTTTGTTTTGCTCTTTACAAATGCTGTGTCAGGGATTCTGGATGAAGCTGTTACTTATGCAAGGAGCTACACAGGATCAGTTCAAATAGAATCCCATCCTTTATTAGCTCAAGCTTTACTGTATTGTTTACTACAGACATGCTGTAGAAACACAGACCTTTAGTGCCAGACTTGGCACTGAAGGTCTGCGCTTCTTACAACTGTTTGACACTGTTTTGTGGTTCTGGAAGTCCTGGAAAATATGGAGGATTAAAGAGATGTTAAGAATGCAACTTGTCCTTATCATATGTTCTTTCGCAGTAGATAAATGGTTGAGAGTTACCACAGTACAGTGCTTTGAGTGCTGGATTAGAAGCTTTGGGACTCTGGACTCTCCATACCTGAAGGATGACGCGGAACTAGTCATACTCCCTCAGTCTAAGAAGAAGGAATTGACAAACCTCCTCTGAACAAATCTTGCCGAGAAAAGTCTAGGTCTGGGATATTATAAATCTGAGACAGCTATGAAGGCACAAATCAACATAGATCCACACAACAGCAACAACCTATATACTGTATAACTCCTCCCCCTCTAATGCATCAACCTCACTTTGCTTATAATTGTAAGGACTAAGAAGCAAGCAGGTACATAAACCTACATCCCTTAAAAGGCCTTCAAATCCAGTTCCCAAAGAAACACAGATCAGCTCCATGCCATAGGCTGCTCATTATTAAGTAATCTTCCCAGGTCATATGACTGAAGATACATTAGGTAAGGAAACCTCAGAGGTGGTTTTGCCAGTTCCCTCCTCTGACATATAGCCTATGGCATATGGTATTCACTCGCAGTAAAAGTATTTACCAGAGCTGACCTTGCTTGGCTTCCAAGATCAGGAGGGATCTGGCGTTTTACTCGTAAAATATAACACTTTTTAAGGCAGTGCTTCTCAAACTGTGCTTCTCAAACTTTGGACTTCAGCTCCCAGAAATCCCAGCCGGCTTACCATCTGGTGGGAATTGTGGGAGCTGAAGTCCAAAGCATCTGAAGGAGCATGGTTTGAAAAACACTGTTTTAAGGCAACTGTGAAGAAAAACTGCAAGTACCTCACTCCACTGTTGTGTGCCTGAAAGTCATTTCTGATTTATGGTGGCCCTAAGACAACCTATTATGGGATATTCTGGGCTGGCAGTGTGTCTCTCACCCAGGGTAACGCTGTGAATTTTGACAGAGAAGCAAGGAATCAAATCCCACTTTCCAGAGTCCTTGTCCAACAAACCACTATACCACACTGGCCTCACTCCCTGCTGATTGATACTTAAAGGCACCCTTTCCCAAACTGGGGACTTCTATGTCCAGACCCAGAGAGTGCTGAGGAAAGGTTGCCAAAGACCTGTATTTGCTTAAAGTGAAACAGAAAGTGATAGACAGTACTTATTTCTTGGTTAGTCGTGCTTTCTTAAGACCTCCTGTGAGCACTTCACTTTAATCTGATCAGAAAAATAGAAATTGCTTATAATCTTCAGTTCATGAAGCTATTTTTACCAGAAGCTTGCTTGCAACAGTCACCCCTTGCATCACTGAAATTTGGACCAGGAAGGAAATGTGGCAGATAAATTCAATTGCTTGGATACAGGGAACACTAAAAACTTTATGTCTACATGAGGAAGGTGTAATGTGGCTCCTATCTGGGCTAAAATTGAAGGAGGAAAAACAAATATTTTCAGTACGTTCATCCCTATGAGGAGTGGGTTAAGAGCTGGGTGCGCTTAGCTGGAGAAAAGTCTGAGAAGCAATATGACAGCCATGTTTAAATATGTGAAATGATGTTATCTTAAAGAGGCCAGCTTGTTTTCTGCTGCTCCAGAGTTTAGGACACTGAACAATAGATTCAAATTGCAGGAAAAGAGATTCCATCAAAACATTGGTAAGAACTTCCTGACAGTAAGAGCTGGGCAGTGGAATATGTCACCTCAAAGTGTGGTGGAGTCCCTTTCTTGAGAGGTTTTAAGCAGAGGCTGAATGACCATCTGTTGGGGGAATTTTAATTGTGTGTACCTGCATGGCAGTGAGTTGGACTAGATGGCCCTTAAGGTCTCTATGATTCTAGACATTTCAACATCTAAACTCTTTCTGCTATGATCACGGAATCCCTGTAAGTAGTTTCAATCAGTGGCCATATGCACAGGCACAAACTGTAACAAATGTGCAAAAAAACTGAAAACAGACCAGAAAGTATCCATCGCAATTTCAGGTGATTAGATTGTGTTGCTGAACCAAAGCTGGTTGGAGTTAGTAGGATTAAGGGCTCGAAACACAGGAATCAGATTATCCCTGAGTCCGTGTAAAGCGAGCTCCCTGAGTACGTGAGCTACTGCAGACACAAGGCTCAGGGGAGAAAGTTTTCTTCGGCGTGAGGGGTCGCGACTTCCCATAATATGCAGCCACAATGGGCTCAAGATTACACACTGAGGGTGACCAGAGTGGTCAAAGGTCTGGAAGGCATCAGCCTTAAGACGCTGGGTATGTTCGGCCTGGAATAGAAAAGGTTAGAAGGGGATGTGATAGCCGTGTTCAAATACTAGAAAGGATGTCATACTGAAAATAGAACAAGCTTGTTTTGTGCTGATCCAGAAACTAGGACACGGAGCAGTAGAGCCAAACTGCAGGAAAAAAGGCTCCAATTTGGGCAGGTCACATACAGTGCAGAATTAGTGCAGTCTGACATTACTTTAACTGTCATGGCGTAATGCTATGGAATTACTGGGAGTTTTACAACAGGCTTGGGCAAACTTGGGCCCGCCAGGTGTTTTGGATTTCAACTCCCACAATTCCTAACAGCCGGAGTTGAAATCCAAAACACCTGGCGGGCCCAAGTTTGCTCATCCTTGTTGTGCAATGCTTATGGGCTGTTAGGAATTGTGGAGGTTGAAGTCCAAAACACCTGGAGGTCCCAAGTTTGCTCATCCTTGTTTTGCAATGTCTTTAGCCTGCTCTGCCAAGCAGTGGTTGGGGGTGAGGGGTGCCTCACTAAACTACAAATCCCAAAACATTGAGGACAGGCAGTTATAGCAGCATCAAACTGCATGAATCCCACAGTGAAGATGCAGCCCAGAAAAGCCCTAAATTGGAACCGACTAGGAAGGCACACAACCTCAAACATTAATAAGACTTTCCTGACGATAGGAACTGCTCAAAAGTGGAGCATGTCAACGCGGGGTGTAATGGGGTCTCCTCCTCTGGAGGTTTTATAGCAGAAGGTGGAAGGTCACGCTTTGGGAGGGCTTGGGGGGTCCCTTCTGGTTCCAACTGCGGGGAAGAGCTCACTCCCATGGCGCCCCTGAGGAAGCCAGGCCCACCAGACTTCCAGAGGGAAGGCACTTCTCTCTCTCTCTCTCGCCTGTCAAAGAGGGTACCTGCTGGTCTCCAGGGACGAATACCGCTCCGGCAGAATCTGAAGGCAGCGCTGGAAGAAGCGGACGTGCCTCTCTTTGAGGAAATCCAGCCGCTCTCCGTCCCCGAAGCCCCCGTCTTCCTCCTCAGCGGCCGCCGGCGTCCTGCTCGCTGCTGCATCCGCCATCACCGCCGCCATGTTGGCCCGAAGCTCTGCTCCTCTCTTCCCCCGCCCTCGCGCGCAGCGTCCTTCCTGTCGCCGGGTGCACTCCGTCACGTGCTATGCTAATGAAGTGGGCGGGGAATAAAGGAAGGGCGCTCGGCCCCGCCCCTTCTGCGGCTCAAGGGGGAGGAGCCAGGCAGCACACTGCTTTTGCTTTCCCTCTCTAGAGAAACATCAGGAGAGAATGCTTCTGGAACATGGCCATACAGCCCGAAAAACTTGCAGCAACCCTACCATATACTGTGCATCCATACTATTAAAGTGAGGTCAGACTTCATCTTAACCAGGCATGGGCAAACTTGGGCCCTCCAGGTGTTTTGGACTTCAACTCCCACAATTCCTCACAGCCTACCGACTGTTAGGAATTCTGGACTTGAAGTCCAAAACACCTGGAGGGTCCCAAGTTTTACAACAGGCTTCCTGTCTGGAAGGGCCTTTAGTGGTGTCCAACTGCATTATATCATTCTACAACAGAGATCCTCAAAGTTTTTAAACAGGGCCAGGTCACAGTCCCTCAAACTGTTGGAGGGCCGGATTATAATTTGAAAAAACATGAATGAATTCCTATGCACACTGCACATATCTTATTTGTAGTGCAAAAACACTTTAAAACAATACAATAATTGAGATGAAGAATTTTAATAAATATAAATTTATTAGTATTTCAGTGGTTGAGTGGGCCTGCTTTTGGCTGATAAGATTGTTGTTGTTATTGTGTGCTTTCAAGTCGTTTCAGACTTAGGTTAACCCTGAGCGAGGGCTGGGTAAATGATCTTGGAGGGCCATATTCGGCCCTCGGGCCTTAGTTTGAGGACCCCTGTTCTACAGTGTAGATCAGGCATGGACAAACTTGGACCCTCCCGGTGCTTTTGGACTTCAACTCCCACAATTCCTAACAGCCTACCAGATTTGTGGTTTGGTGAGGCCTCATCAATCTTCATCAGAGTAGGTTAAAGACCTTGGTAAAACAAGGATGGTAAAACATCAAAGCATCCGGGCATCCCCTGGGCAATGTCCTCGCAGACGGCCAATGCTCTCACCAGTAGCAACTTGCAGTTTCTCAACGAAAAAAAGTGATGTACCCTAAGTTGTTCTTTAAATAATAATGAAACTTTCTACTGTAGGTTGTTGGATTATAAATAATAATAATAATAATACTTTATTTATACCCCGCTACCATCTCCCAAGGGACTTGGTGCGGCTTACATGAGGCTGAGCCCACAATACATCAATACAAGCAATAACAATTACAATACGAAGCAAAATACAAATACTAATACAAAGCAATTAAAATAAATCTCATACAGAAATAGCATAAACATTGAACAGTGGCATAAAACCCATTTAAAAAACTATGGCTGGGCCAAATGTAATTAAGTTAAAAAATAATGCTGGGCATCACTTTACCAGTTTCCGTCTGTGTGTGTGCGTGTGTGCCAAAAACATAATTAGAAATACCAGGGTCGAAAGGTTACCATGGTGCATTGTTAGAAATAATGAGCAATGCAACTGTCAGAAAGCCCAGTAGGGGCTCTCTAAGCGTGACTCTGCTTCTACATCAGGCACGGGCAAACTTGGGCCCTCCAGAAGTCTGTTAGGAATTGTGGGAGTTGAAGTCCAAAATAACTGGAGGGCCCAAATTTACCCATGTCTGATCTACACTGTAGAATGATATAATGCAGTTTGGCACCACTAAAGGCCCTATATCCCAGAATCTGATCTCAGGTTTTCTGCTTTAAACTGGATTAAATGAGTTCGCACTGCCAGATAATCTGGGACAAATAGAAAACCTGGGATCAGATACTGGGATATGAGGCCTGTCTGGAAGGCCCTAGCTGACATGGCGCAATGCTACGGAACCCTGGGAGTTCTCGTCTTCAGCCTCCTCTGCCAAAGTGCTGGTGCCTCATCAAACTACAGATCCCAAGCTTCCACAGCATCGAGCCATGGCAGTTAAAATCGTGCCAAACTGCATTAGTTCAACACTGTTGAGGCAACCTAAGAACCTCTGCTCTCCAATGAAAGTATTTCTTATCTCATTTCATAACTTTGGCTTTCATAATTTTAAGTGGGACTTTTGTAAAAAAAAAAAGTTTTAAAAAAATTATTAGATGCTGTTTTGTTTTGAAAAACTTCTGCTAAGTTATGTGTTTCAGAATTAATTTTACCAGTCTGAAAACTTTTAACTGTAACCATTTCAGAATTCAAGTGTGTGATAACATGACTGAATGCTTCCTCAAACAAACGTTACTTTCTGTACCTGGTTCTTCTACCTATGCAATCCAATTCTATTCTCGTTTACTTCTGTGCATTTCCTGCTGTCCCGAATTGGGCAAAAACCTACCTGGCATAGACCGTATATTATATGGAATATAGCAGGAACAAGCAAACGCACGCTTGCTTCTTGTGGGTTTTTTTATCGTGTCAGGAGCAACTTAAGAAACAAGTTGCTTCTGATGTGAGAGAATTGGCCGTCTGCAAGGACGTTGCCAAGGGGACACCTGGATGTGTTATCCTGTGGGAGGCTTCTCTACGTGGGGTTGTCTCTGAAGACTGCCCGGAAGCTGCAGCTAGTCCAACGCTCGGCAGCCAGACTACTAACGGGTGCTGGGTACAGGGAGCACACAACTCCGCTGTTACACCAGCTCCACTGGCTGCCAATTAGCTTCTGAGCACAATTCAAAGTGCTGGTGTTAACCTATAAAGCCTTAAACGACTCTGGCCCTGTTTACCTCTCCGAACGTATTCTCCCCTATGAATCATCAAGATTATTAAGATCGTCTGGAGAGGCCCTGCTCTCGGTCCCACCGGCCTCGCAAGCGCGTCTGGTGGGAACGAGGGACAGGGCCTTCTCGGTGGTGGCCCCTCGACTCTGGAACTCTCTCCCACTGGAGATCAGAACCGCCCCTTCTATCCTGACATTTAGGAAACAGTTGAAGACTTGGTTATGGAGACAGGCATTCGATGAGTGAGCCAACACCCTGAGATATGGATGGAGGATGATGAGCAACGATTTTAGTATGACGACTGACCATTATAGTTATTGATTGTAATTGCTGTTTTAATGTTTTACTGTAATATGTATTATGATATTTTATTGATTGTGATATTATGGTTGGAAACCGGTCTGAGTCCCTCAAGAGAGGTGAGAAGGTTGGTATACAAAACTTTGAAATAAATAATAAATAAAATAAATTCCCTCATGTCCCTGCATGGTGAGCTGGGGCTGACAGAGGGAGATCATCCTTCAGGTCATCAGTCCAGCTGGCACAAAGGTTTAACGCATTGCTCTACCGCAGCTCCATGTGTTTAATTGTATGATTTGGAACAGAAGAATTTCTTATTGTTGTGTAAGGGACTTCTGGAAGCCTGAAAACAAATACTTGTATCTTTCCCCTGCTTGTATTCCCAAGGTAATGAGGCACATTAGAATGTCAATAAATTAACCATATTTAAGATTAACTAAGAATGTGTTATGAAATTTATAACAAACGAAGGCCACTAATTTGTGTTCCAAAGATAGGACAAAACCCACATCGTTAGATTCAGGCTCTAGCAAAGGGAGAAGGAAATCAAAGGAAGTCATTCTGCTATTTGTAGGAATTACCATTCACCAAAATTAGGACCTTTTGTGGAAAAGTATGGAATTATTAACAACAAAAACAACAATAACGTGATTTATAAAGATACAGTTTATATTTGCTCTTTTATAGACATTAAATAAAATTCACATAACTTCACCCTCAACTCAAAATGAACATGTTTAAATCTCATGATAATCCTTATAAAACCATAAAATAGCCAGTAATTGTACACATGTACATGTCTTCTAATATTTCTTTGAGCAGATACCCAGTTATAGCCCTTGTCGCCAGCTCGGGACAGCCCTATAAAGAAAAAAAATACCAATTAAAGTATATTGTAATGAGTTTTATAAAACATTTCAATGTCTTTTCCCGCTTACCTGTGTGGAATATGCAGGACTGGTCCTGAACCCTCTGGTCCAATCTCTTTGATCCGTTCTTCCCAAACTTTTGTAGGTCTATACAACCGATATGGGTCCCGGGTTACATTAATTTCCACCTATTAAATTGGATTTTTTAAAGTAATAAAAATAAGCTGTTAAGAGATAGTCCTTTAAAAAGATTGACAACAGTGTTACTCAAAATGTTGGCCCCTGGGCCAACGCTGATCCCCAAGTCTTGGCTGTCAATGCTTGGTAAGTTTCCAGGAAAAAAATTGTAGCCAATGGGTACAAATACTGTATAGTGCCAGTCCCTGGTACACTGGAGAAAAATGACTGCCAGAAAAACTTTTGTCATTTTAATATATTTCTTTTTTACAGATATTGAGTGAAGAAACTTAAATACACTATAATAATCTAACATATGAATTGTCTGACAGATTTCCAAAAATAGCTTGATGAATAATGAACAAAACCATTCCCTAAATAATTCACACCAGCTTTTAATAGTGATGCCATTATCTTCAATTTTCTTTAACCTTCGTTTCAACTGTTCATCCATGGACAAATATATTTATTATTGATTTATTTACTATATTTGTATACCGCTCTTCTCAGCCCTCAGGGCGACTCAGAGCGGTTAACAAAGCAAATACAATACTTAAACATGATAAAAACAGTTAAAAACAAGTTTAAAGAATAACATTATAACAATCAATAAACATCATAATATCTCATCTCATAGTTAAAATCAAGATCTAGTCTCTTCATCCAAATGTTCCATATTTCTATATTAGTTACATTGCCTATTCAAATGCCTGCTCAAACAACCAGGTCTTCACTTTCCTCCGAAATGTGAACAGGGAGGGGGCCGATCTAATTTCTGTGGGAAGGGCGTTCCACAGCCGAGGGGCCACCACTGAGAAAGCCCTGTCTCTCGTCCCCACCAACCATACTTGTGATGCAGGCGGGACTGAGCAGGGCCTCCCCAGACAATCTTAACGTCCTAGCTGGTTCATAGGAGGAGATATGTTCGGACAGTTAAATTGGGCCAGAACCGTTTATATACCACCCATCTAATGTTTT